CCTTACAGTGTTCTTTTTCCAAACAAGCCACTATTTCCAGTGGAGCCTAAGGTGTTTGGAAGCACATGTTATGTTCGAGATGTTCGGCCATCTGTTACCAAGTTGGACCCTAAAGCATTGAAGTGTGTTTTCTTGGGTTATTCTCGCCTTCAGAAGGGGTATCGATGCTATTCTACCGAGCTTGGTAAATATTTGGTGTCAAATGATGTGGTATTTTCAGAGACGACACCATTCTTCTATGCACCTCCCAGTTCGACAACTCAGGGGGAGGAAGATGAGTGGTTAGTCTATCAAGTTACTCGTGATGTGACAAAACAATTAGATGATGTCCTTCATTCTCTTAGTTCCCCTATTGAACACAATTTGACTACTGGGCCCACATCTTCTACTCCGGTAAGACCACCAATTGTTCAAGTTTATTCGAGAAGACGAGAGATCGATGATACATGTTCTGCACCAGCTCCTTTGTTATCAAATCTTTCTTCACCCGATCCTTCAGATGATCTTGATCTCCCTATTGCTCTTCGCAAAGGTAAAAGGACTTGTCAATCGACGTATTCCATTGCTAATTTTGTTTCTTATGACCGCTTATCCTCTACGTCAAGGTCCTTGGTTGCTTCTTTAGAATCTATCTCTGTACCCAAAACAATGAAGGAAGCTTTGACTCATCCTGGATGGTATGATGCGATGCTTGAGGAAATACATGCCTTAGAGGAAAATCACACATGGGATTTGGTGGATTTACCTAGTGGGAAGAAACCAGTGGGATGTAAGTGGGTGTTCACAGTTAAAGTAAATCCAGATGGTTCTGTGGCAAGACTTAAGGCCAGGCTTGTGGCTAAAGGGTATGCTCAGACCTATGGGGTGGATTATTCAGACACTTTCTCTCCAGTTGCCAAACTTACTTCCGTCCGCTTGTTCATATCTCTAGCTGCTTCTGAGAATTGGCCTTTACATCAGTTGGATATCAAAAATGCATTCCTTCATGGTGATCTTCAAGAGGAAGTATATATGGAGCAACCACCTGGTTTTGTTGCTCAGGGGGAGTATGGGAGAGTGTGTTATTTGAAAAAGTCTTTGTATGGCTTGAAACAGAGTCCGCGAGCTTGGTTTGGGAAGTTCAGCGAGGTAGTCCTGGAGTTTGGGATGAAGATGAGCAAATGTGATCACTCAGTCTTTTACCGACAATCAGCAGTTGGCACTATCTTACTGGTTGTGTATGTCGATGACATTGTCATCACAGGAAGTGATTATGCGGGGATCTCTTCCCTCAAATCTTTCCTGCATACTAGGTTTCATACGAAAGACTTGGGTCAGTTGAAATACTTTTTGGGTATAGAGGTGAATAGAAACAAGAAGGGAATTTTGTTGTCTCAGAGAAAGTATATTCTTGATCTTCTTGCAGACACTGGAAAGTTAGCAGCTAAACCTTGCAGTACTCCAATGGTTCCCAATGTGCAGCTTATGAAAGATGACGGCGACCTCTTTGATGATCCCGAGAGATATAGGAGGTTAGTTGGGAAGTTAAACTACCTCAGTGTGACTCGTCCAGACATTGCTTTTGCAGTAAGTGTTGTCAGCCAGTTTATGTCCTCGCCTACAATCAAACATTGGGCAGCTTTGGAGCAGATTTTATGTTACTTGAAAGGAGCCCCTGGACTTGGGATATTGTATAGCAATCATGGTCATACTCGTGTTGAGTGTTTTGCAGATGCTGACTATGCCGGATCCAAAATTGACAGGAGATCGACTACAGGCTATTGTGTCTTTGTTGGAGGGAACCTAGTTTCATGGAGAAGTAAGAAGCAAAGTGTTGTATCTCGATCTAGTGCAGAATCTGAGTATAGAGCTATGTCACAGTCTACGTGTGAGATTATGTGGATACATCATCTTCTAACTGAAATTGGGTTGGAACATCATACACCAACAAAACTTTGGTGTGATAATCAAGCTGCCTTGCATATTGCCTCAAATCCGGTGTATCATGAAAGAACTAAACATATTGAGGTTGATTGTCATTTTATTCGTGAGAAGATTCAGGAAAACTTGATTTCCACTGGCTACGTGAAGACAGGAGAGCAAGTAGCTGATTTACTCACTAAGGCATTGAATGGAACTCGAGTTGATTATCTTTGTAACAAGCTGGGCATGATCAATATATATGCTCCAGCTTGAGGGGGAGTGTTATAGAATGTATATAGACTTAAATCTAGTAATATACATAGCTATATTTAGGTAGCAGATTTATAGGAATCACTGCAGATTCATAGGAATCAATCTTAATTTCTTTCCTTAGTTAGCACCTAATGTATTGTATTTATTCACTGCTAAACTACTGCAATAAGAGAAGAGATTTTCCATTAATTTACATTCTTATTGAACTGTTATCTGTGTCCTACTTCAGGCACAAAACAATTATTTATCGTTTGTTGATTTTCTTTTAACTGTTTTTCTGCAGGAGAGTGAGATAAGGTGGGCTTCTCGTTGGGATACATACCTTCTCATGAATGATGATCAGATTCACTGGTTTTCCATCATAAACTCTCTTATGATTGTCCTCTTCCTTTCTGGTATGGTCGCGATGATCATGATGAGAACTTTGTACAGAGATATTGCTAACTATAATCAACTGGAAACACAAGATGAAGCTCAGGAAGAAACAGGATGGAAACTTGTTCATGGAGATGTTTTCCGCCCTCCTACTAATTGTGGATTATTGTGTGTTTACGTTGGGACTGGTGTCCAGATATTTGCGATGACACTAGTGACAATGATGTTTGCTGTGCTGGGTTTCTTGTCGCCTTCTAACCGTGGTGGACTTATGACTGCCATGGTTCTGCTCTGGGTCTTCATGGGGTTGTTTGCTGGTTTTTCTTCTGCACGTCTTTACCGAACATTCAGGGGAACACATTGGAAGAGGATTACCTTGAGAACTGCTTTTATGTTCCCTGGTATACTTTTTGCTGTCTTCTTTGTGCTGAATGCTCTCATCTGGGGAGAGAAATCTTCCGGAGCAGTGCCTTTTGGAACTATGTTTGCTCTTGTGTGCTTATGGTTTGGTATCTCAGTGCCTTTAGTGTTTGTTGGTGGATACATGGGCAATAAAAAAGTGGTCACTGAAGAGCCGGTTAAGACAAACAAAATACCTAGACAAATACCGGAGCAACCATGGTACATGACACCTGCGTTTTCAATTCTTATCGGTGGTATTCTTCCATTTGGAGCTGTTTTCATTGAGTTGTTCTTCATTTTGACTTCCATATGGCTGAACCAGTTCTACTACATCTTTGGCTTCCTTTTTATAGTCTTTCTGATCTTGATAATCACGTGTGCGGAGATAACAATGGTTCTCTGCTACTTCCAGTTGTGCAGTGAAGATTATTATTGGTGGTGGAGAGCTTATCTGACTGCTGGATCCTCGGCATTGTACTTCTTTCTCTATTCAGTTTTCTATTTCTTCAGCAAGTTGGAAATCACAAAGCTGGTTTCAGGAATCTTGTATTTCGGTTACATGTTGATTGCATCCTACGCCTTCTTTGTGCTAACGGGAACAATTGGTTTCTATGCTTGCTTCTGGTTTGTTCGGAGGATCTACTCCTCTGTGAAGATCGACTGATCAAGAGATTTCGAAATTTAGGAAGTGGTCATGTTGATTGCATCATATGCCTCCTTGGTGATATACTTGCTTGTGCTTTGTCCAGAAAATATACTCCTTGGTGAAGATTGAGTACTGACCATATCTCATAGTATGTAGTGGTATAGTGAAAATGGTCTTACTTTTGATGACTTTGATACATAGAAAGAGTTGCAAAGTTTTTTATTTTCGTTACTTCATAGGACAAAGGCTGAAAATTCCAGCCTTCTAACGACCATTTCGATTCCAGTTCACAGGCTTGGTTTGTTTCTTATCATTCTAGTTTATTTTGTTGGTTACATTGTTGACACATTTTTTGTAGCTTTTAGCAATACATTTGGATACCTTATACACTCCCTAGAGGTATGCAAGTATTTTTGGGTTTTAAGCTTTTTATTTTCTACTTTTTGTAATGTTTAAAAAAAATAAAAGAATATTTCTAAGCTTGCACTTTTAGATCAAATAAGTACGTACTTATCAAAATAAGCTAAAAATCAAAAGTTGGATATTCCCAACTTATGACGTTTGGTTTTTAGCTTATAATCTATTTTGTAAATGTCAATCCAAACATTCTCTTAAGTCAAGCCTATAGGTAAACAAACTCCAAATGACATCAAATTTGACAAGAGGAATGGGCCCTTCACCCAAAATCCCAAAATTACAACTATTTATGACTTGAGGAGAAGTATTGAAAAATGGCTTCAATTCCATTTTTTTCGACCAAACACACTCAAAGTGGGGGACATGGGACCAGCCATGTCTCCAAGGTTTGTTTAATAGGCCTATTTTCAACAATATTAATAGGTCAGTCGCATGGGCAATGGCGGAGCCAGAATTTTTAATTAGGGGTTCAAAATCTGAAGAAATAGACACATGAAGTAGCCTAAGGGAGTTCAACATCTACTATATATACATAAAAAATTAATTTAACCATGTAAAAATAATATAATTTTCCGCCGAAGGGGGGCCGATGACCCTCCTAAAGATAGGGTGGCTCCGCCACTACGCATGGGTCGGAGCCACCTTATACGAAAGGTGTGATCTGCTGCACACCTATGTTGGAAAACTATGTGATGTACAAATATTAAATGTGTAGTTACTATAAGTGTATATTTAATTATGAACACCCCTAACACAGGGGAAGAAAATTTGCGCACCCTCGACCAAATTTGTTGAACGTTATGCTACATTTCTTTCTGAATGTGCTTTAGAAAGCATTTTCATATTTAGTTTGTCCACTTGCATAGCTGATAGCTGTCAAGAAACAACACTTTTGACAGACATGATGAAACATCCAATATCTTAACAGACAACACATGATGAGGAACAAGAGTGAGAAAGCATAGTAATTGAAAGAGCTTCATGGTACTACAACATAGTAAAAAGCATTTCTCTATGTGCAAAGCAATGAATTATTGCTTTCTTACATACATTATGATTGTACAATGTTGAAGTTCATGGAAGCAAAATGCTTTCCAAGTCTCTCACCCTAACACAAACAAAATTTGCACATCGGCTCATCAAGAAATGTCTTGATGTGTAATTAGACGAAACCTCACATGTACAGAATCTTTTGCCAATCATCTTCGTAATCAGGTGAGCTTTGATCAAAGAGGTGTGTTGCTGAACTGTACAACTTCAACCCCAGCAGAGCCAAAAAAATGGTAGTGTGGATTTATGGATGTCTAGTAGCTCGTTCGAAAAATGTTTATAGGAGTGGTTAAGTATTTTTATCACTTGTATACTCAGGATCATCAACTACAAATGGCTTCCACTGAGAGTTTCTTTAGAACATTTCGACAAGGATCGCCTCCAAAATTCTCTGGTGTTACCTGTACTGAGCAAGACTCTTTCCCAACACAATTCTGCAAGTATAGTAATAATAACCAATTTAAGATGCAAATAAATCAGTCTAGCTCAGAGATTGTTAGGAAAAGATGCTAAATTGACCAATCAGTTTCTCATGTCAACTCATTAAATTATGATTCATAAATACCTTTTTGAAAGCATCATATGAGCGCGGAGCATGGCAGCTTCCCTGCTGGAAGCTTCCACAAACTCCCTCTGGTGTTCCAAAGCTTGCAAATTTGATTGAAGAAATCTTCTGACCAGGTGCACACTTAAGATGGACTTTAGGCCTGAGAGGTCTGTCAAATTTACCAGATACTAGCCTCTGCCAATTCAACAACTGTGGTTGCCACTCATATATATCAGCACAAACACTTGCTATTTCTCTTTTGACTAAAGTGATTCCGTAAGGATCTCCTCCCCATTCCTCGAATACAACTAACAAATTTCCAGTAGGATACAGCCAAGACCGGGGTACATGGTACCTGAATTTATGATTCTCAGTTAAGTTGGAGCTTCTTGTTACTGTTACATCAGAGTAAAATTCACTAAGGTTTGTCATTACTTACCATCTTTGTGAGCCCTCACCACAGTTAGTTAGGCACTTTTTTTCATCAAACCAGCCAGTATAGTTACAGACACTACAACTTCCAGATGATTTATATGCAGGCCAGTGGCGTCCGAGGCTCTGACCATTTATCCATACTTGACCTTTGCCCATGGTATTCATATCTAAAGCCAAAGGCTCATTTCCATCTGGAGCATTGAATGTAGTCTGTAAACACAGCAAAGGGATTTAGTGGGCTTTTCCTCAGATCTTTTGAAGGCATGATATGATCCGTATTACAGTAAATGCTAGCACTGCTCCATAAAGCGTAATCCTTTAAGTAATATTACTTTCTTATTGAAGGATAACTTTTACTTTTAATAACTAAAATGGTAGAGAAGATATGAGTTATGCACCTTATACCAACTGAGTGGCTGCTTCTGAGCCACTAAAGAGCCTTCCACCCACTCCACGGATGGGCTACCACTGAGTGAATGAAGACTCAGGGCTTCTCCTTTTAGACCAACCTGGTGAAACAAATAAAAAAGTCAGGTAGACAGGCATTATAAGCAAACAATTTTGTTTGAACATCTAAAAAGACAAACCTTGTAGAACCATTTCTGCCATGTTAAATCTCTTGTTCCCTCGTTAAGTCCATTAAGTGAAACTGGTCCAAGAACACCAGCATTCCATGTCTCAAAATGAGGGCCAACGTTCTACATTCAAACACATGTAAAAGCAAGACACGTGATGAGCATATTTTGGAAATACTGAAGTATAACTCTCAAAATCAGTTTCACTTTAGTGCAATGCGTAGAACGAAGCAACTGCGCCGATAACCAGGCATATGTATGATCATATGCACGTGCAATAGAGAAAGAGAGGGTGGGGAGAGAGGGACAGACCGGAAGACCAACAGCAATGCTTAGCAAAGAAATCTTGTTCACACCAGCTCTCAGATTTATACCATTGCTGAAAGTTAGTTTTGGGTCCTCTAAACTTCCGTACACAGTTCCTGCAAAAAGTTTGGATGAACGGAAACATCAAATAACAATGTGCTGCTTGACTGGGACATCAGTTTTTTTTCTTACGCCAAATTGTTTCCTCGGACGTAAATTGCAAGCAATCAAAAGCCTCAAACTTCCATATAAAACACCAAAATAAAAAGAGATTCAAACCACAATTGTATGTAACAAAAGACGTCAGACCTGCTAATTGACCATTCACAAATACATGCAATGCATGGCCAGCAGAGAAGACCGTAAGCCAAGGCCAATTTCCACTATTCAAAAATCCTTCTGTTGGATCAATCTGAATGCTGCGGGTAAACATTATTAATTATAAACATGTGAGCAATATAAAGTAGTTCAAGTGTAATTAACTTCCTTATTTTGTTTGTGAAGCAATACTAGAAGCTACAGACGCACTTACTCAGTCATATACCACAAGTAATCAGATACATCTCTTGTGATATTTATCTGCTCCAATAACCCAACAACTGTGAAAGTATCGTCTTCATGCAATGCTGCGTCTTCATTGTATGACTCCCATGAGAATCCTCTACTGACTGGAGTCATCTTCATCTGAGCACTTTGAGCACCAACCTTTACATTGAATTAAGAGTGTGCTGTCAGACTTCTGACTGTGGAGTTACGTATAAGGCATTCTCTCAAGAAAGTAAAATATTAGAAAATTGTGAGATATTCATGGTTATGTACTAATAACACAAGTACTTCAGGAGAAGAGTTTTTTTCTCACCCTTGCAGTATTATAGACAGTGTTCTTGCAGTCAGGAAGAATGCTGATAGACCAGGGTGGCAAGTTATAATGCATGTTCCCAAATGCCACTTTAGCAAAAGAGTGCTGGTTGTAATTTGCTAGGAAGGCAGCACAGGCCCCAGACTCCGACTTAAAAACACGTGCCTGTAAGAGAAAATGAACGTTTGTTTTCACTTCAATTCTGGTAATGATGATTAGTTTAAGAAGAACCCAAATAAATGTCACCTCTTGATAGTTTCCCAAGGATGTCATAGTTGGATCTGCAGATACTAAAGCTGGCTCACAGAGCTTTATTGCTCTATGTAGATCTTTCAGATGACCCCATTTAGGCTGCCGTAATGACCCTGAAGATCAAAGGGAAAAAAGTTCACTTAGGCAAAACGATTATTTCCACTTCAGTTGCTCTTTTTTTCCATCTTTTACATCTTCTTCCTAGTTCTAATCATGGACTTGACTGTAAAGAAACCTCATAAGTTTTTCTCAATAGCAGTAGACTAACTGAACAACAACATAGTATGATGTAAGTTTTTATCAACAACCATAGATTAACTGAGAAACATAATTTCATTTATGATGAAGAACAGGACTCCAAGTAATTAATTTAATGGAACTGCTAGCATCAGTAAAGCTACCAAAGGTGGTTGAACTTATTCTATCAAACTTGGGAAATTCATCAAGTTTTAGGAGAAGCAGTAGACATTGCTTTAAATGCAGCTTGTATGCCTACTACAACAGGTACATGGCCTTCTGAACTAGAATGACTTGAAATTAGTGATCAAAGCATTCAGCCCTATATACAGCAATGATTTGTTTTCGAGTAAGTAAAGGTGTGCAACATGGAAAACTAACATTCCATCCAAACAGAAGCACAAATAATTTGGTCAAGGAGTCAGAAATGGAAGCGCTGACCCTCACACATGAGGGAAAAAACTTATGGAAAGCAGTGTACTAATGTAAACAGGAATAACAGGAAAAGAAAAAAGAGTTCACAAAAAAAAAATCCCTTTTCTCTATACAAATGGTATGGAACAAAACAGGAAACAGAATTTTGATCCTTAACCATCTCCTTACATTAAAGATGTTCAATCCAAACATAGATTTTAAGAAAGAACATACCAAATTCATCTAGGGGTGCATCATAGTCATAACTAGTAGCAATAAATGGGCCACCAGATGTCCTTCCAAAGTTTGTTCCTCCATGATACTGGCCAAAAAAGAGGAAAAATAGGATCATAGAACAATGTATATTTCTTGGATTCAGAAGATACATACATCTAAATGTTAAAGTCCAATGCATTACCATATAGTAATTGATGAAGGAGCCTCCCGTTTGTATAAATCTTGCGACAGCAAACGCCATATCCTCTGCAGGACGGTAAGGAACTGGACCTCCAAATTCAGTAAACCTGCCAGCATTATCAAAACAGAAAATCATCCCGTCATGAACTCTAGCAAAGATGTAAAATAAGATATTGTTCACCTATTGCTTATGAGAGATGAATATGCAGTTTACCAGGCTGTCCAGGCTTCAGTCCACATCTTGGGTTTATTAGCCTTATTTGGTGTGAAGTAGTCACAGTAGAAACCATTGCAGGTATTAATCTGAGCAGGGAAAAGAAATACATTACGGTAAAATACCCGAGAAAATTTTATTAAAAAGGAAAGAGGAACAGAAGACATGCCAATACAAGTTATGTTTCCAGGATGTTTTAAAGTATTAGTAAAAGTAGCTATCAGAAACAGGGGAAGTACAGTATCTCTCTGATTGCAAGTTTGATTCAGACAGGTAAAGAACGTTTGGTAGGGTGTATAAGAATGGTGCTAAATAGGGTGAATTAGTAGCGATTGCATTAGTAATGCTAGAATTAGTTATGCTGAGATTATTTCTTATGCATTGTCTAGTTTGGTGTATTAAAAATAACATGCATTGCATAGTTTCTAAAAAAAAAATTTGTTTACAAAAATAACCTCAACAAATACGGTGGAAAGGATATGGAAAAGGTTTTGAGGGACAATTGTGTCTTTAACAATGCTAATGCAAGCATTAAAAACCCTTGCATTGCTGATACCATATGCATTGCATAATACCAAATAGAGTGTATACATTAGTTATACTTAAGTTGAAAAAGTTCACCCAACAAGGTATTAGTAATACACAAAGCTAATGCATGCATTATTTATTCTAATGCATCCTACCAAACGACCCCTAAGAAACAAACATATTCACAAGTCAGTGATTACAAGAGTCAAAGGTCACTGAATATATTTTTAAGAGACAAGAAAACAGATAGGAGTAGGAACAAAAGCCACCCCATGTGCAGGGACTAAAACTATTTTATTTAATTAATTCATCAACATCTAGGTTGACAACTGACAATAATTTTTGCATAGAAAATTAATGAAATTATATAGAATCCACTTACAATAGGATCAGGAACATCATCTTGCTTGCACATGATCCATGGGACACCAGTGCCAAGATCCACAGCCATTTTGGCTGCCCACTCTGAGTAAACTTTACCAGGTTCACCTAGTTCCCACTCCATAGGTCCATATTCATTTTCTATCTGTCAAAAAAAAAATTCAAAGACAAATATCTTCATCAAACAAATTTGCAAGATTAGTGGAGAAAATGATAACAAAAGATACTGAAATTTCTTTAACAACCTGAGATAGAATAATTGGACCACCCTGAGTTTCATAGAGCTTTTCTGCTTTCATCATATCAACAATCTTAGTAGTGAACTTTTGCATTGCAGCCTACATTACAGCATTTACACAAAAAGAATAACACCCAAATTAGAAACCAGTCACATTGAAATGAAGAACTTTTCATATGACAACTTGATCTAACCTTGAAAGGCTCATTGTCTGTTCTGAAACTGATACCTGGAACATACTTCAGCCAAACAGGAAAACCCCTGAAATTAAAACAAGTAATATGAGCAAGAACTTAAATTTATGCCTATATGGGGTGCCATAATTTTAAGCCATACCCAAAATTCCATTCAGCACATGCATAAGGTCCAATCCTAAGATGGACATAAAGTCCTGCTTCTTGCACCACTTTGATGAACTTCACTAAATCATACCTCTCTTCAAAATAATACTAGAAAGGGAAAGTAAAGTTAAACACTAGCAGCAAATGATAAAAAACATGAAAAATTAAAAAAAAAATGAGTCTACTTTACTCACTTTCCCTTCTTCAGTCTCATGCCCATTCCAGAAAACATAAGTCTGTATAACATCCACTCCCCCTTCTTTTGCCTTCTGAATAAGATCTGGCCACATCTGTGTAACCCCAAAACAAGGAAAAAGATTTAAACTTTAAGACACCCATTTGCCAAAAGAACAATCTTGAACAAAAACATGTAACATCAAAACCAACATATGAAGTAAATTTATTTATTTATTGACATGAGAATATACCTCAGGGGTGCTTCTAGGGTAGTGAATGGATCCAGAAATGAGAATTTTTCTTTGTCCATTTATAATGATAGCTTTATGGTCATATGAAACAGAAGCAATTCCACAAGAAACCCATAAACACAATAACAACATCAGCAACATTGCTATCCAAGAACCCATATTTGTCAGCATTGAGACAAATCAAGAATCAAGATTGTGCCTTTACAAGGCACTGAACTAATGAACTAACTTCCTCTCAACCCCCACACCTTATTATTCCTTTTTTTTTATCAAGTTGCAAACTTTATTCTATTCTTGCAATTATATAGGGATTGAAAAAAAAGTATTGAAGGGAAAACAGCTGTTATTGTTGCCTGAGGAATTTTCTTCTTTTTTGTTCTTTTTTATGTTTATACCGGCAGTCCATACTTTTTTTCTAGTGCTGAGCAAAAGAACAAAGAAGAAAGAGAAACTTGCTGCCTAGAGTAGTAGTACAAGTTCCAAGTAGATCACATTATTCAATTATTAAGGGTCTGTTTGGCAAGAAAATTGTGAATATTTACTTCTTTTTATTCCAATTTATAAAAGAAAAGGAATGTTTATTTTCTTTCTTTTGCGATTCTTTAATTTTAACTTTTTCTATAAAGCTATAATTTAAGACAAAAAATATTCAGAACATCTTTGTCCTTCTAGTTCATATTAAGTGAATTGTTAATATTTTTTTTCATAGTTCAAAATAAGTGAATTTTTTAATGTTCAAAAAAAATTATTGAGATTTTTTTCATATTTACCCTTCATTTAATAAGGTTCTTAACGAAGTACTTTATAGTTTTTTTAGGAGATAAATTTTGAAACAATCAAAAGGATAATAATGAAACAACAACACACCTCGTGGAATCTCTCATGGATGGATAAAATGTATGCAGATTTTATTACTATTTCATGAAGATAAAGAGATTGTTTCTAGAAGACCCTCGGCTCAGAAATAGCAATTTTAGATACAAAATGAAACTATAGTGAGTTACAAGAAAACAGTATGAAGTCTAGGGGAAGGAAGCAACACTACAACACAATAGTGCAATAATTGAAGCACATACACAACATACTGGAATAGATTATTGAAAATAATAATAAATGATGATGGATATATTTTTTTTAAAGTACAGTAAAACAAAGATAACAATATTGAAAATGTGAAAAATTATGCGTACTTATTTGAAAATGTGTTTGACCATAAATACTATAAATTAGACTTGTTTTTTGTATTTTTATGAGTGATTTGGAATGAGAAATTGCAATAAAGTTTTGGTATTTTGAAATTAACTTTAAGCTAAATTTCAAAATTTTATTGCCAATCATAATTTTTGAAAAAAAAAATTATTATCAAAATGCCCACTTAATAACTTTTCACAATTAATATTGAATTTTATTGTAAAATACATTGAATCTGGTGTTTATTAAAACTTGGAAGTATTTAAAACTCATTTAGGGAAGTAATTCTAAATAAAATGTGGAATTATTTATTTTATCTTATATTTGATTGAATCTTAATTTTGATATAAATAATTTAAGGATTATTTGTATCATATTTGTAAATTGTAATATTAATTTTATAGCACACTCAGCAAAATACTAGTTTGATAATTGATACCATTACTCACATGATAAAATAATAAAATAATAATAATGCTTCTCCATTATATTCATTATTCACTAAATAATTTCATCTTGCATTATATTTCTCATACTATAATTTTCTCAAAAACCAAACAACCCCTAGTTTTATATATTTAAGATAAATTCCATCTGGTGTGTGACTCTTAAGATTTTTACCCACTATTCGTTTAAACTATCGTCATTTCTTCATAATCATGTCACTTAGTTATTTTTTTAATTCCAAATTATTGATATTTTAAGTTTGGACACGTGAATTAAGAAAAGGAGGCCTTAAAACTTATAAATAATTTAAATTTATTTTGATATCAAACAATTTAATAGCATATTCTTTTTAAGGAGAAGGATTTGATACATCTTTCAATTTTGTTATTTAGAATTAATATATTCTTATTGTGAAAGTGACTCACATACACTTTTACTAGTACACACATAACTCACATATATCTTCTTCTTTTTTTCTCGAAAGAGGGAAAAAATCAATTTTTTATTTATTTATTTTTTAATTCTAAGTTTTATGATTAATAATCTTTAAATATAGTACATTTCATATATCCATAATTGAAGATCATGTATTCAAAATTTTCTCTACTTTTTAATTTCATATCAAATTAAAATCAGATAAATAAACTACAACGCGCGTAACAAAATGGAATAATTAGTTGAGAATAATTATGTGAGAACTTTTGGATTTTGTTAAAAGCACCTAGGTTGGGGCCCTTTGTGCATTTATTTTTTTAACTATGTATTGGGACCCACTTTTCCATATTTCCATTCAATAAACTAATTTTCACACTGCCTTTATGAAGCATAAGATTTTTTTATTAAATCGGCGCAAATAGCTTAATTACAAGTACTAAGGATTGTTTGGCTTTAATTTTAAAAATATAAATTTTAATGCGGGGCTTTTAAGCTACTACACAAAGATTCATTTATTAAAAAATAAATAAATGCCTGTGTTTTTTTTTCTCAAATGAATAAACGCTACTACGCGAGTAACAATATCTTTATAGTCACTATTACAAATAATTGGTTGGTACGTGATTTTTACTCTCTCAAGAAGAGTGTGTATGATATTTTTAATTATTTATCATCAACTGCACACTTTGTTTAGATATTTAATATGAAATTGTGATTTAAAATTATTATATTTGAGCATACAATAATTTATGGTATTTGAACGTATAATATTCTAAAGATTATGTATATTGTATTTGTAATATTAATTTGTACATAGGGCCTCGAATTTACTATAAAGTGCGTGAAGCTGCATTCTTTTTGTCTTCGTAGTTTTTTATACTTTTTCACATTGGAATGCCATGTTTGCTTAGTAATTCTTGCAAAGAAGAATTTCTAGCAAAGGTGGAGCCAAGATTTGAGGTTTATAGACTCATATAGAAGTAACAAATAGAAATGGATAAGTCAAATCAAATTTAGGCAGGTCGAATCGAATATCAATGGATCAAAAATGAGTCGGATAAAAATCGTTAAAATATTTGAGTTATACATAATATGCATAAAGAATGGGTAAATAAAAGGATAAATGAATATTCATATTATCCATTACTTCTTATTATATAAAAGAAATAAATATTCTTAAATTACAAATATTTTTTCTTATTATTTTCTACTTTTAAAGTGTGTCTGATATGAAGGAATATTTCATCTCTTGTATAATAATATATAATAATCGATAATTTAATGAATGAGTGTCGATGACTAACTTTTCTTAAAATTCTAATTTTGAAATTACATTTATGAAATAGTGAAAAGAAATAATAGTAAGTGATCCGGGTTTTATTTCTTGTTGTAAATTTTATGTTTTGTTTTAAAAAAAAATAAAATTAATAGAATTTCTATAAATAAAAATTAGGCAACAAAGGAAAAAATATGTAAGTTTTATGTTTTCTCTTTTTAAAAAAGAATAGAAAGCATATAGATAAAAATAAAATAATAGGTGAAACTAGTGGGTTTCAAATCTACATATTTGGTTGTTATAAAAAATCTGATTCTTTACATTGAATCAAATGTTGTTTCGTTAGTGGGTTTTTCACTTATAAGTTTGTTATATTTACTATCATTTTAAATATATATATAGAATTTATGCAAAAGTTATTGAGTTTGTCCGAACTTTCCTCTTACACAATAGCTTCACCCGTAGTTTTCAGTACTGAGCGATCAATAGCTTGAAAAAGATAATTTTTCGCTTTGAAATTCTCTAACCTTAGATAAGGCTAGGCAACGGACCGGAACGAAACCATCGGACCGGAACGAACTGGTACCGGAACGGGACGGTTTGACCGGTACCGGGATGAACCAAACTAGAATTACCTAGATGGATACTCGGTTCTGTCCCATCCCACTATTTATCGGGATGGAACCGGAATGGAACGGGATGGAATAAACGGGACGCTATTTCAAAAAATGATTAAAAAAAAAAATAGTTATTTTGATTTTTTGAATTACGAAAATATGAATGTTTTTTTATTTTTCTAGTTTAAATTAATAGTTTGAAATTTATAATGTAATTTTACTTAAGTTTATTTTAAAGATATTTTTTTTTAATTTTTACCTATCAAGTTTGCAAGTTAAGTTTAATAAAGTTTTTTTTTTTAATGTTTTTGAGCTTAGTTTTCAATATTTGAATCTTTTGAAGTTTATAAGTTACTACTTATTAATATGTTATAACTTATAAGCTATATTTATAACTTGTAATTTAAATAACTTAAGTTTGTAATTTTAAGAAATTAAATAAAAATAAGGATAAAACAATGACACAAATTAAAAAATATCAATCCAATTTATTTAAATTTGTATTACAAATTACAATTACAATTTACAATTATTAGTAGACTGCATAATTTACGCAGTCACCTTCTAGGAAGGGTTCTGTTTCAACTAAGCCTCGAATGTAATACTAATAGTTGTATAGTCCCGTAAAGCCTTTCTCTAACTTAGCAATAGATTGACTGTGATCAACTACTGGTCTTGATAAAGCACGTTGACGATCTTAAAGTTCCAAGTCATTGTCACTACCACATCCAATGGCTGAATCTATAAAAAGTTCATATTGACTATCTAACTTTGGAAGTCCTTGAGTTCTCCGCTCAACATTTATCTAATCTCTAAACAGCACCGATATCTCCAACTTGTCTTCTTCTGCTAACGAATATCTGTGGTCTCCAATTTAAAATCTTGTCGCGCTGAAAGCTGCCTCCAAAGCTACTGATGATCCTTGAATTGCAAGCACATCCTTCACCATCCTACTAAATTTTGGAAATTGAGTTCCACGAGTCCTCCACCAGTTCAGTAGTTGTGGTATACCTTCCTCGTTTGTAATATTACCTGAACCCTGTTCAAGATATTTAACAAATTCACATTTATTAGAAGAGTCAAGACCAAGTTTATGTTTCACTCTACCATGGGCACCTACTCGAGGCATAGACATTTGAGGATTTTCAACATTATCTAAGGAATAATATTTATCATACATTTCTTTAGCAAGTAATTTTATACTATTTTGACATGTTACCAAATCAGGTTGTTCTTCTGGTTTAATATCTAAATTTTGATAAATGCATTCAACTAAAACTTTTACACCATACTTTTTATATCCAGGGTTGAAAAGAATTGCAGTTAAATAAATTTGAGGGATAGGAAAAAAATATTTCTTAAATTTTGTAATCATAACTTCAATAGCACTGGTAAATAATTCATTTGTTTTATATTCAGAAAAGAGAAATGAAATCTCACATATATGTATTAAAATTTCGAAAATAGTAGGATAATACA